AGGAAGGGACAGGAGGGGCCCTGGGGAGATCACCAAGTCCAAACCCACGACTTGTTAGTTCCCACAGGAGTCAGGGTCTGGCTGGCTGGCCCCCACAGTGACCTCCTTGCCCGGAGACCACCCTGGGCAATGCCAGAGCCAAATGTAAAATGGCCACAGGGCCAGGCCCTCAAAGGATTTAAGCCCAAAGGGTGGACTATTTGTCCTAAAACTGGATTGCTGCTTAACTGGAATTTCCAGGTGGACCTGGCTTGAAGCAAAATCCCAGTCTCTGCTTCTTATCAGAAGAGGGAGCGGACACTGAGTAGGGAACAAGGCGGAGGAGGTGCTGGGTGGCGGGAGAAATCACCAGGTTGGACTCGATCACAGGATGACTGGGCAGAGCCCAGCAGAGCCCCCAAAATCTGGAAGGTCCCCAGGGTGGAATCCAGGGAAGGGCTGGGACGGCCTCGACATTAACTGTTCTGTCATTCCCAACCCATAAATTAGCCTCGTCCCAGCCTGGGAACCCCGACCCCACTGCTACCCAGAGACTGCAACACCTGGCCATATGGCTGCTGATGTCTCATTAGAGTCATCGTAAAGCGGCAAGTTAACGATTACCCAGCAGAGCTCATGCGAGGTTTCAGGAATTAGAGGAACATTTTCACACAGTCGAATACAGACCAGAACTAGAGAGCTTTGATATCAACACTGGGTTTCTGAATAAGAGAAAGAAACAAGAAAAGAAGAAAAAGAGGGATGGAGAGCGAGAAGGAGACGGAGAGACTAAACACACACGCACAGGCTCTGGTTTCCCTAAATGACATCAGCGCGGTCTAGGTATGCCTCCTCTGCCTCAATCGTGAGTTCCTGAAGAGAAGGTATCTGGTCGTCTCCCTCTCTGGAGCTCTGGGGCCCAGCACAGGACAGGCACATAGTCGGAACTGGAGGAACGAAGTCACCAGATACCTTAGCCATCAAGGACATCCAGGCAAGCTGCCACCACGCAAGACCTTACGGACCGACCCACAGACACACCTAGCAGGGATCTTCCCAAACTCGAGGCCACATCAGGTGGCCCTGAGCCTCTGTACTAAATGTCTACTCGGCAACAGCCTCCAGGAAGAGCACTGAGTGGGCAGCAGGATACCTGGGTTCCAGCCCCAGAGGGCCACTCCCTGGCTGTGTGGCCCGAGGCAAGACCCCTCTCGCCTCTAGCACAATGAGGGATGGGGACCTGGGAACTGGAGAGTCCCATGCCGGGATGGTGCAGTTTGAGTCCAGTCCCACATGTGGCTCTTGCTCCATTTGGTTCATCAGGTGGAGGCACCCGCGCCGGCTGAGAGTCTGGGACGAACCAGAGCAGTAGGAATCACTTCTGCCACCACCAGGCCGAGTGGAAGAAAGCGAGTCAGAGAGGCATGGAGGGTATTTCTCAATCTCAGACTGTTAGACAAGAAGCCGTACACTATTTTCCCCAGGAAAAGCAACAGGACAAAACTGGTTTAAAGGACTAGTTACCCACACTCCCAGAGCTTAAAGATCTGGACACAGGCAAGGCTCCCTGTGCCTCCCCCAACCCCCAGGATGAGGCTCCAAGACTCACCCCCAAAGAAGAGAGAGAGCCCACTCCCAAGCCAAGGCCAGGACAGATGTCCTCAAAACATGCTCTGTCAAGGACAGCCTGCATGTCCACATGTGTGCTCATGGGGGAAGGCGACGGAGGCCACGTGCTGGTGGAGAAACACCTGAGAGCAAGAGGCCAGCAGAGACCCAGCTAGTGTTTTTTCTGCCCAAGGGCACGAAGGGAGACAGAGGCTCGGCTGACAGCCCCCTCCCCCCCGCCCCCCCCCCCAAAAGCTGGGGAAATCGGCTCACAGACCACTGCTCTCCCAGGGCCGCTGTTTGCTGGCCCAGGTGCCCACGACTCTCTGGTGCCCACCTCCAGACCAGGGTCCTCTTTCGAACAGACAAAAAGGATCTTCTCAAAGCACAACTGAGCAAGAGGGGCCTCTGGGGTCTAAGTCGTCCTGTGCTCACCCCCCCATGCACCTTTGAGGGGACTACACCAACCGTCCCGGGCCACAGTTGAGCCCCCAGGTCAGCCCCGACCACCCTGAGCAGTGCAACCTCAGGTACTGCCTGCCCCCCACCCAGCCCCTCTCTGGGCTGGCGGTGCCAGCGCCAGTCAAGTCACGCTGAGCTGCCGCCAAATCTGAGCAGAGATAAACATTCCGAGAAAAGAAACGCACGGCAAGGCCGCTGCTCCTCCCAGGCTGACTACATCTCAGGCAGACACCCAGGCGGCCAGGAGACAGCCTCACCGCCATGTTCCCCGAGCGGAGGCTGCCTGGACCCCAAGGGCCAAGAGGACGGCGGCTGCAGGCCTGAACCCCCAGAGAACTCCCCGGAACTTGTGGGAAGCCTCAGGCAAGGCCCACCTTCCCCCTGCAGCCCACACTCCCAAAGGCCTCCCACCAGCCTGAAGGGGTGCCCGGGGCAGGGCCCACTATGGCTCCAAACCCTGCCACCTCTCCTCCAGCACACACATAGGGGAGACAGAGGCAGGATTCAAGCTCAGGTCTATCTGGAGTCCACCCCATGGCTCTGAGAACCCGGGACAGCTCAAACAGTGACCCACCGGCAGCCCAGCCCGGTGCCCGGCTCCTTCGGGGAAAGGCATGCCCGTTGGTCACCACCTGCCAGCCGGAAGGAATCGCAGCACCTGGTCCAGACCACTGGACACCAGAAAGCAGAGCCGAGTCGCAGAAAGGAACTGCAAGTAGTGAAAAGGCCACCGCTCTAAACCCCGCAGATGCTTTCTCCCAGCAACCTCAAAACCACCCTCCAAGGGCTTCGGTTGACACCTGCCCAGCCGAACAGATGGGCTCGATCCCCCAGCCCACACTCTCCCAGGGTGACTTTCAGCTTTCTCCAAGGCCCCTCCGGGCCAGGAGCCTCCGCTCCGAGAGCTGCACGCAACCACTCAAACCTAAGGGCTCCAGAAAAATGCTCAGCCCTCACTTTCTGGGGCTCCCTCAGCGGCAGCCTAACCGTCATGGTCTCCCGCACCCACGTCACATGAAGGCGGCCATGCTAGAGAAGCCCCAGGGCCTCTCTCCTCACCCTCCCAAACGTTATCTCTCAGGAAGTCCTTTCATGCTGCCAATTCAGAATCACCTCTGAAATGCCAGTAAGGGCTCCCACCATTAGACAACAAAACAAAGCAGGGGAGGGTGACCAGGGCCTCCCACGCTTCATCGAGAAGATCCCATACCCCAAATGAACTTTGGGGTACTTTAATTTGCTAAATAATTTATCTTTCTTTCTGCACAATGTCCAGACAACAATTAAAAACAAAAAGGACAAAACCTAGCCTCTCTGGGGTCTGGGGACTCTCTGTTCCCTCTTCTCTCTGCTGTTCAGAGCTATCTCCACCGGAGTCTGAGAAAATGGAACTTCAAGTCCTATTTGCCTACACGTACTTAACATACACAATCTCATTCAGTCCTAAAAATAACCCTGTGAGTTAAGCATCGACAACCCCATTTCCCACATGAGGAAGAGATTCTGAGAAACTCTCCGACACGCCTGACGTACAAGACTCAGCAGCAGGACAAAGATTTGTCTTCATTTTACAGGATGAGCCTGCTTCTCAGACTGACCATCCAGTCCAAAGGACTCCAACTTTCTGCTTTAATTAAAAGTCCCCCTTAACACCACAATTCTTGCCTGACCACTTTCAAGAGCTTCCTCCCAAACTTGGTCTGAAAATATTGAAGGAGTTACTGGAGAAATTGAGCAAGAGCGTGTAGGAGGCCTGGTCTGCCAGGCATTGCAGAAAAGTGACAGAGTTCCCACGGGCAGGATGCCTGCCCTCCCGCCAGGGCCCCTCACTGGGAACCACATTCTCTAAACCCTGGCACTAAAAAGGAGCAGCCACCTGTCAGGTACCCTCGGGAGCAACCTGTGGCTGCCGAGAGTCTGACCGCCTGTGGATTACAGGTCAAGGAAAGGTCTGGGCAGGCAGGGGCTCAGCCGCCTCCTGAGGTAAGGAACGCAGAGTCACCCACCCAAGCTCCCAGCCCATGCCTAAAGAGAGGCTGGAGGCCACGGTCCACATCATCTGGGCAAGATAACCAGGCTGCTCCAGGGAAGGGACAACTGGGTGCTAACTGGTTCCAGTTTAGCACTCCAGCCCCCAGGGTACACACATTGTACTCCTACAAACACCACCCGCCCCTGGGAGGGCCCTGCTCACTTAGGTTTGGGGAACCTACCAGGGCAGGAAGCAGGGGAGGAGGGCCCCAGGGCAGGGATCTACCCCGAGGAGGAACTGAACACAACAGTGACAATCTACTGAGGGCTTACCCTCCTTAATGTAAACCCTTGTTTACAATGTTTCATTTAATCTTCCAAAACAACTGCCTGAAACAGTTACCATTTATTATCCCCATTTAAGAGGTGAGAAACCAGAGGCTTAGGGAGATGTCATTTGCCCAAAAGCTCCGGAAGAAAGTCAAACCACACTCAGGAGAGAGCGGCGCTACGGGAAGACAAGAGATGTGAACTGGGAGCTCAGCTCCCTTCCCCACTGGAGGCCTCACCATCAGTCAGTCCTCCAAACCGCAGCGAGTCACTCGGAGGTGCCTCCTGGTCCCTACCAGGGTCAGCAGGGTGGAAGCGGCTCCAAGCCTTCAGCCGACTCAAACTCCAAAACTTCTTGAGGTTTGGACCAGAGCGAGGAAGTCTCCAAGGCCTTCTCGGGTTCTGAGGCCAGAGGGGCCTGCGGCTTCCCTACTCGCCCCCGCCTCAGCTTCCAACAGGAATCCAAGGGGACTCACCTCCCAACCTCTCACCCTCACCCGTTCCGGGACCCGTGTGGGATTAGGGACTCTGATCCGGAATTAGGGAGGCTGGCTGTCGCGAAACAGGGCACGGGCGAACGTCCGGGGGACCCTGTCGGGGAAATCCAGGGGAGTCGCAGTCCTCGGACTGGCGCCGACCCGGGTCCTTACCGAGCAGCGGGGACTCCTCGGGGCAAGCGGGCAGCGACACTGCTGTGCCGGGAGACAGCGCGGCCAAAGTCAAGTTGCGCGCGGGGCCGGGACGGGAGTCTGCGTCCGGGCTGGAGTCACGACCCGGGCGCGGCTGGAAGGAGGCGCCCCAAGGCAGCGGTGGCGGGGCGCCCGGCGGTCGGAGCTCCCTGGAGGGCTGCCCGATGGCGGCGGCGCCGTTCGAGCCGCCCTGCAGCGAGGTGGAGACTCCCACCAGCTGGGGCAGGCGGCTCAGGTCGCGGCCGGCCAGGTAGTAGACGAGGGTGACGCCAAGGTGCAGCGCGCAGACGGCCACGAGCAGGCGGCAGGCCCGCTGCAGGGACGCGCCCGGCATCGCGGCGCTGCCGCCCAGGAGCGACTCCCGAAGCTTCATCTTCCCGCCGCCGCTTTAAGAGGGGGGTGGGCAGCGGCGGGGAGGGCGGCCCGCCCGCGGGCCCCCGGCCAGGAGCTGCCGGACCACGGGGCTCGGGGGAGGGGCCGGAGCGCAGGCAGGAGCGCGGCGTCGGCCGGCGGGCGGGCGGGCGGCAGGACGCGGAGACTCGGGCTGCCCAGCCACCGAGCAGGGAGAAGAGCGCCCGAGGCGCGGGCGGGGCGGGGCGGGGCCGCCGGCGGGGCGGGGCCGGAGCGGGGTTTTCTGGACCGGGGCGCGGGGCGGGGCTGCTGGGCGCGGGCGGAGGGGCGGGGCCGCTGTGCGCGGGCGGAGGGGCGGGGAGAGGGGCTGCAGGGGTGGGAGGGGGCTGCAGGGGCGGGGCCTCGGGAGGGGCTGCAGGGGTGGGAGGGGGCTGCAGGGGCGGGGCCTCGGGAGGGGCTGCAGGGGTGGGAGGGGGCTGCAGGGGCGGGGCCTCGGGTGGGGCTGCAGGGCCGGGAGGGGGCTGCAGGGGCAGGGCCGCCGGCGGGGCGGGGCCGGAGCGGAGTTTTTCTGGCCCCGGGCGCGGGGCGGGGCCTCGGCCCTGGGGGCTGCAGGGGCGGGGCCGTCTCCAGGGGAGGCTCCGCCTCCGGATCCACCGCCCGGCGGCGCACCGCCCCTCTCCTGGGTCTTCGCGTGGGACTTCGGTCGCTGGAAAGCCGCGCCCCCTCTCCCCCCTGCTAGCCGACCTCGAGATGCGCCGCCACTTCCTCGGATGCTCGGGGCTGGGGTGCGGGCTGGGCCTGCAGCGCGGCGGCGGAGCAGAGGGCAGAGAGGAGAGCAGGCCGGTTGTCCTGAGGGTTGGGGGCCGCCGCGGCGTTCCAGCCTGGTGGCCGGGGGGGAGGGGCGGAGAAAGGTTGCCCAGGAAATGGGCTTCGACGCCCGTGGAGGGTGGGACAGCGGCGGAGGATTCTCTGGGACGTTCGGTGCCCCGTCCCTCCTACCCCTAGGCCCCACTGCCATTGCGGGGGCCCAGCCGAAAGATGGGCCTTCCCCGGCGCCCTGCGGAAAAGAAAGTGCATGAGGCCCCGCTTCTCTCCTCTAGCCCAGGCTGGGGGACCGCAGAGGGCGCGGTGTGTTGGGTGTGTTGGGGGGGTGCCTCTCCTAGTGCATCCTGCCTCGCGAGGTTACATACCCTAAGTGGGAGGGTGGCAGGGAGCCTCGCTAACTCGCGGGCCCGCAAGCAGGAGAGAAGGCGCCTTTTTGCCATCTGCACCGGCCTGGACACAATCCTGTAAAGTGGGAGTTGTCCCCATCTCACAGGTAAAGAGTTCAAGGCTTACGAAGAGAAGAAGCTTGCCTAAGACCCCACAGCTGGTGAGAGGCAGAGGCAGAATTCGGACTCCAAAACCTTTATTTACCAAGTTTTCCCCTTTCTGATTTACAGGTAAAGGCTGGAGGCTGTGTGGGTGAGAGGCTTAGGCGTTGAGGTCTCTTGGTTCAGATTTGGCCCAGAGGCCACTCCTCAGACCCACCTGCTGCCTGAGTGAGCAGGGACACCTCACTCCTGAGGAAGAGTCACCGAGGTGCTGCCGTTTGTCTGGATGGAGCAGCTGAGGGCTCTGGCAGCCACCGCTGCTATGGGGGGATGCTAACAATAGACGGGGAGTTTACTATATGCCAGCAGGACACAAGCCTAACAACTCTGTGAAGTAGGCAGTTGTGACTGTCTCCATTTCACAGATGAGGAAACTGAGGCTCAGAAGTTGACACTTGGTTGTGATCATACAGAATCTACTTTCTTCGCTTGGCTTCCTGGACACCAGGCTTTCCTGATCTTCCTCACTTCTCTGGCTGCTTCTGTCTTCTCTGTGGGCTGCTCCTTCTATGCGCCAGTTGCTGTAGGCCCCAAGCCGTAGTCTGCAGCGCTCTTTCCTGTCCATACTGACTCCCTCGGAGTGATTTTTTTTTTTAATATTTTTTATTTATTTTTATTTTTATTTTTGCTGAGGAAGACTGGCCCTGAGCTAACATCCACTGCCAATCCTCCTGTTTTTGCTGAGGAAGACTGGCCCTGAGCTAACATCCGTGCCCATCTTCCTCTACTTTCTATGTGGGACGCCTACCACAGCATGGCTTGCCAAGCGGTGCCATGTCCTCACCCGGGATCCAAACCAGTGAACCCCAGGCCACTGAAGTGGAACATGCGCACTTAACCGCTGCGCCACTGGGCTGGCCCCCCAGGGGTGATTTCCAATACCTATGTGTTGATGACTGCAAAATTTCCGTCTCCAGCCTAGACCTCCAGACTCACGTTCAACTGTCTATCAAACTCAACACACCTGGCCCCCAAAACCTATTCCCCATACTCCGCTCCCATGCTTACCTGTGTCAGAGAATCGTACCAGTGTTCAGTTCCCTGAGCCCAAAACCCAAAAGGTGTCCTCCATGTGCCACTCTTCTTCTCAAATGCCTTTTCCAGTCTCTCAGCAAGTCTTGTCAGCTCTAGCTTCAAACCATCAGAATTAACCACCCCCTAACTCTGCTGTAACCCTCCTGGACCAAGCCACCATCGTCGTGCCCTGGGTTATACAGTAGCCTCCTAATTGCTCTCCCTGCTTCCACCTCCTCCATGCGCTCTCCCAGTCTATTCTCCAGATCACCTCTAGGGAGGTCTTTGTAAGCACAAATCAGATCATGCCATTTATCCTCATAACAAAATCCCCATCTGTAGACGTCCTATCTAATCTGGTTCCCATCTCTCTTCCCCATCCTCATCCATCACCCTCTACCATGCTTTCCCTGCTTTCGCCACACTAACCTAATTGCTATTCCTTGAATTTGCCCTGTTTCTTCCTGCCTCAGGGCCTTTGTACTTGCTGTTCACTTAGCCTGAAATACTCTTCCCCCATATTTTGTTCAGATCTCTCAAATGTCACTTTATGAGAGAGATCTCAGAACTGTCCCCCACTCACATCTGTTTAACCTGATTGATTTTTTTCAGGACAGGTTTCACTACTCAACATTATACACTTATACATTTATTTGTCGTTGTCTGTCTCCCTCATTAGAAAATTAGTTCCGTGAGTGCAGGAACTTTCTCTCTTGTTCACTACTGAATCCTCAGCTCCTAGAACTGAACCTAGCACAGAGTTGGCACTGAATAAAATATTTGTTAAAACACCTGTTAAATGAATGCTTATGATCGTCTTGCTAATGTGGGAAGGGGAGAAGGCAAGAACTATCGCTAAGCTATTTTAGAACACAAAAGTCAAAAGTTTTTCCACCAGGGAGCTGGTGAGGGTGAAGCTGACGCCAACCGCCTATGCTGAGAAGAAAATGTCAGGCCAATGAGTGAGGAAGGGTCAGAACAGTCCCTCATCTGAAAAAGGAGGGGGTGGGGAATGCTGATGTGTCTTCCACATGTTCAGATTATGGCCAGGAGACAGGGCTGAGGGGAGGCTAGGGTCCCAGGTGTATCCTGGGGCCCTCTTTGTGGCCAGGACGCTAGGAAAAGGAACAACACTTGCAAACTGTCTATCCCTTGGGAACATGCAGAGTCCACAGAAGCTTGAACACCAGGCTCACCAGCCCCCCGATCCAGAGGTACCTAGAATCAGTAAATTTCTCGCTTCAGAAAGGTCCAGGTCAGAAACCTGCTTGATAACATCATCCAGCTGTGCAAACATGAACTGGTGTTAGAGAGACAGACCCAAAGAAACTTCCTTCAGCTCTTTCCGCTCTCAGTTCTGTCAGGTGAAAACTTCGTCCCATCCCATCGGAGACACCTGGAGAAGGAAGGCGGGCTGCTGACTGGCCCATCCAGGGTTTATCTGCCCTGAATCACTCAGCTCTCTGCTTCTCCCTGCCGGCCGCCTTCAGCTGGTTAGCGGCATTTCCTCTGCCCTCTGACGGCACTTTTGTATGTACCTCCCAGTTCACATTTCTGCTTCACCCTAGTAGATCAGAAGGGCATAGAACAGTGCCTGGCATGGGGTAGACAGTTATTTCATTTATCTACTTCTGCATAACCTCCCCCCACCGACCCCCGCCTGAAAACTTAGTGTATTAAAACTAACAATTTCTCACAGTCGTGTAGGTTCAGCTTCATCTAGAGTCAGTTGGGCTCTGGCACAGCTGGAGGTTCCAAATGGCCTCATTCACATGGCTGGCAGTTGGTGCTGGCTGGGGGCTGGGTCAGAATGGGTCGTGGGTCAGGGGCCTTGGTTCTTCTCCACGTGGACCTCTCAGGAGCATTTCCAGAGCAAAGTAAGAAGATGCAGATCTCTTAGGGCCCAGCCTTAAGGTCACTTCTGTGGAAATTTTAGCTAAAACAAGTTACAGGGCAGGCCGGATTCAAGAGGAGGAGGGGTAAGGAATTGGCAGCCATCTTTTTAGGTCTTCCATGGTTTGCCCACTGGCCACAAATTATTTGGATTCTTCCCACGTGTAAAATGCATTAATCTCCCAAGATCTCCCAAAGGCTCATCCCATTAAAACTTGACTTCAGGCTCAGGCTCTAGGTCCAGAATCTAATCATCCAAATCAGGTCCAGGTATGGTTCCTCAGCTTCAGGGACCTATGAACTACAAAACAAGGTACCTTCTCCCTCCTCCTCTTCTTGAGGAATTCAGTCCAAAAGCCATTAGGTAGGGAGAATAAGGTGGGAGGCCAAACGGCATAGACAGTGTGTCAACGCCCACACAAATGAGGAGGGGGGCGTGGAGTGAGAGGTGGGGAGGGTGGCAGCCCAGCACAGGGTGTCAAAATGCAAGCAGACTAAAGAGTAAATGCGAATGGGGTATTAGGGTATTAGGGGCTTCTGTGAGGTGGGGCAGCCCAGTGCAGGATGTTGAAGCCCAAGGTAGACAAGGAGATTGTTAAAGACAGAAAGACTGATAAAAAGTAACTATATATATGGATGATGAGAGTTACCCAACTTTCCGACTGTCAGAGAAGGGAGTTACAAATATAGAAAGGAGAAAACTAAAATGAACTCTTTGAAACTTTATTGGAATTGGAGAAATCGGTGTGAATTCATGGCTTTCAATGTATCGATAGTGAAATAAATATAGATGTGTGTGTTTGTACACAAATATGAGTGAATATCTGGGAGCAGGCCTAGGAGCGGAAACTTGCCAATAGCAATGAGCACAGCTAGCACCCAAATCTTGATTTCTAAACACTGTTTTCCAATAGAAAGAACTAGATATTCTTGGAGAAAAGGCTGATTTCAGGGATAGACCAGGGATATTACAAGATGAGCCTGGAAAATCTTGTTCCAGAAAGTAAGAAGGAGCTTGAAGAATGATAAGGATATGTCAAATGAACATAGAAATCAGTTTGAAGGGGCTCCCATTGGCCAAATATGAAACTATTTGAGCATTAAAATAAATATTGATAGGAGCAGTTTACAACTAATTGAATAAAATAGGAAACCATGAGTTCATACTGATAAAAGAGACATGAAAGTTTGATGAGTAACGAAATATTTACATAAGTTCAAGGTACCTACCCCACAAAATACTTGTAATTTCAAAGGGAAATGTTAGAGAAATGCAAATTGTGAAACATTCTACAAAATAACCATCCTGAAATCTTAAAAAATGTCAAGGTTATGATAGTCAAGGAAAGACTGAGGAACTGTTCCCCATTGAAAGAGACTAAAGAAAAATGACGTGCAACACCATGATTCTGAAGTGGATTCTTCTGCCGTAGAGGATAGTTTGAGGACGACCAGTGAAGTGTGAATGGGGACTAAGGATAAGATGATAGTAATGCATCGATGTTAATTTCCTGATTTCGATGGTTGGCTTGTGGTTATGTTAGAAATATGCGTATAACATTTTGGCGTAGTATGGCATCATGTCAGAAACTTACTCTCAAATAGTCCAAAGAAATATTTGTACTAAACTTGCAACTGTAAATTATCTCCACACCCCCTCCCCCATATCCAACATACAACGGGAAGACAGGGACAGGAAAATCACAATAGATACTCCCACTTGGAAAGAGGATAACGAAAGGTACATAACAGTCACTAGTCCTTAGGAAATCTGAGATCCAGTAGCGCACAGGACACCAAGACCCCCTGCTCCAGGTGGCTCTTACCTCTACCCTCTGGGCTCTTGGCTCCATCCTTTGAGTTATTCCTCCTTTTCCATAAGAAATAGCCCTTGTGCAGCAGGGTAACACGTTCAGGCTGCTTCCCTGGGTGTCCAGTGTCTTCATTTCATTTTAAACTGTGTCTATTTTAGTCCAAGTCAGTGATACTTATGCTAGTACAATTCTCTTAGGAAAAAGCAGAAAACTTTGTGAGTTTCCCATGAATCTTACTGAGTTTCACTCGATTAGACAAAAAGCATACCCCCAAATCTCCAGATAAGCCCCTCCCTTCTTTAGGCTGTCAGTCAGGGTGGCTGCCGTGGGACAAATCCTTAAGATTCTTAGAAGCACTTTGGGACTCTGCAAGCTTCTGGGTTCCAAAGTGAATGCTCTATGTTTTAGGTTTTTCTTTTGGAAGCTCCCCACTTCCAGGTGCCAATTTCTGTTTCAATTACCTATTGCAGGAGTTGGCAAACCAGGTTCCATAAGCCATATCCAGCCCTCCACCTGTTTTTGCAAAGAAAAATTTTTAGAAATCAGCCGTGTTCATATGTCTTCCTATTGTCTGTGTTTGCTTTTGTGCTACAGTGGCAGAGTTGAGTAGTGCAACAGAGAACAAATTGCCTGCAAAACCTAAAAAAAAATAACTAATCTTTTATAGACAAAGTTTGCCAACTCCTACTATTCAAAAAACGACCCAAAGATGAATTTCTTAAAATAACAACAATTTAGTATTTCTTAAAATTCTGTGTATTAACTAAGTGGTTTTCTGCTTCATATAGTGTTGCCTGAGTTAACAGAATGTCTGGAACGTACAAATGGCCTCCCGCACATAGCTGAAAGTTGGTGCTGATTGCCGACTGGGAATTCAGCTGTAGCTGTTAGCTGAAGTGTAAGTCAGTAAAAGTGAGGCCATCTTGTTTTGCTAAATGGCCCCAGCTTCTCCTCTGTGTGACTACTCGCTGCTCTGCATGTACTTTGAAAAATTCACATGCTCTCCTGATTTATGGCCTCCGCTTACGTATGTACTCCCTGATACCTTGATAAATTAAAACTTTGGGGGCAGGCCCCATGGCCAAGTGGTTAGGTTTGTGCTATCCGCTTTGGCAGCCCAGGGTTTCTCCGGTTCGGATCCTGGGCGCAGACATGATGCCGCTCAACAGGCCACGCTGGGGCGGCATCTCACATGCCACAACTAAAAGGACCTGCAACTAGAATACACAACTATGTACTGGAGGGCTTTGGGGAGATGAAGAAAAAAAAGACTGGCAACAGATGTTAGCTTAGGTGCTGATCTTTAAAAAAAATAAATAAACCTATGTTCTATGAGTTTTTCTCCAGGAACAGGCTGACCACAGGTGGAAAACACACCTACAAGGCATCCATCGTAGCTCGCAGAAGAATGGAACAGTGTGATACCTGGAGCCTGTCATGCCTGGAGACCAACATCCCTGGACCCCTCCTTACTGCCCATTTTCCCTGTATAACAGCCTCAAGATTCTGAAATCCTCAAAGATGAGTTTTTGAGACATTAGTCACTGGTCTTCTGATTAGCCGGCTAATCTCATTAAACTTCCTTTCTCGATCTCTAACTCATTGTGATTAATTGGCTCAGATCGTGGTGAGTGGGGTGAGCCCATTGGTCAGTACCCGAAGGTCTCAGTTCTCCTCCATGTGGGCCTCTCCACATGGCTGCTTGGGCTTCTTTACAGCATGGCAGCCAGATTCTAAGAAGGAGTATTCCAAATGCATAGGAGGGAGTGGAAGATCCAAGGCTAAGTCTTGGACATTATACAATGACACATCTGCCACATTTTGTCGGTCAGAACAAGTCACGGGGCCAGCTCAGATTTAAGAGGAGGGGAAATAGACTTCACCTATTGATGAGAGATGTGGTAAAGAATTGGTAGCCATTTTTAACCCAACACAACACAAATAAGCTGCTTGTCAGGATGCTACTCCCATCCACACTTTGCTCCAAGTGCCCAGCTGAACTTCTTCCTGTGACCTGAAGTGAAATCAGACTCCTCCTCTCACCTCTTTACCCCAATCCCCACAAAGTGCCTCTATCTCTGGGTCTAGGCCCCACACGGTGACCTTGGCCATGCATTCCTAGCAACATCTACACCCAGGACATGATATGCTCACAATCTCTTGAGATGAGTTCTTTGCCTCACATGCAGAAGCCTGGGAACTGCCTTCGATACTATATCTGAGTCTGCTGGAATATGCCCTCTGTCTTAGTAAGTTATTGCCAAATAATGCTACATAGCAAATAACCGCCTAATCCAAGAGCTAGACAACAATAAAGCATTTATTCCTCTCTCATGTGTCCGTGGGTTGGCTGCGGCAGCTCTGCTTAAGGCTGTAGGTCTCAAGGTTGGCAAGGTGAGTCTACTCCATGTGTCTCTGTTCTTCTGTGATGCCTCCCACGGGCATGTTTTTCACATGGTGATGGCAAAACCACAAGATGGGGGAGAAAAGAAAGCCAATGCCTTTTAGGGACTGTGCTTGGAGTGGCCACTTCTATTCACATTCTGTGAGGCAAAGCAAGTCACTTGACCAACCCAACATCAGCAGGGCAGGAAAATGCATTCTGCCTCTAGCGGGAGGAACTTCAAAGTCACATGGCAAGGGGATTGGATGGAGGGAGTGGTGAAGAAATGAGAAAAATGCAATCTTCCATTCTATTTTTTTTTTTCTGGAGCTAGGATGGTTGCTGGGAACTGTGCTCCAGAACAGCTCACAATTTGCAATTCCTCTGGTCTCCCCACCTCTGGCTTCCTGCCCTTCCCAATCTGCCCTATGGACTTGGTCAGATTTCAGCATTGGAGGGAACCTGGAAGGACACCACCTCTTTCATCCAGTGAACGATTGCCACACACAGTATACTGTCTGAGAGTTCATCCGGTTTTGCATGCACACCTCCAGTGATAGGGAGCTCCCTATAGCCTGCTCTGTTGTGGCTATCACTGACCCAAGAATTAAGATGTTCTTTGTGAAGCTGAAACTCATCAGTAGCAGTGATGCCAGCTAGCTATGTTCCTTGGAGCCAGCGAGAATAAACTGAGTCCTCTTTCACTTGATGGTTTCAGTTATTTAAAAAGATCGGACGTGTGCCTTCTCCCAGCCTGAAGACCACTCCTCTCTAGGCTGACTAATACCTATCATTTCTACTGTTCTTCATGCTTCATGGTCGAGTTCCTTCTCTGTGTGGTTCACTTTTCTCTGGCCAGGCTCCAGTCTGTCTCTTTCCTTCATAAAAGAGCAGTGCCCAGGACTGAATGCAGCATTCCAGCTGGGGTCTGAGCAACAGAACAGAGCAGGACCATTGACCACCTCCATAGTCCCAAATGTCATGTTTTCTTCAATGCCTTCTAATGCAACATTCACTTTTTTAACTTTTTATTATCATTATCATTATTATTATTATTATTATTATTTTGGTGAGGGAGACTGGCCCTGAGCTAACATCCATTGCCAATTTTCCTCCTTTTTTGCTTGAGGAAGATTGTTGTTGAGCTAATATCTGTGCCAATCTTCCTCTATTTTGTATGTGGGATCCTGCCACAGCATGGCTTGATGAGCGGTGTGTAGGTCTACACCCAGGATCTGAACCTGCAAACCCTGGTCCACTGAAGCGGAGCACATGAGCTTAACCACTATACAACCAGGCCAGCCCCACAACATTCACTTTTTTTTTTTAAGATTTTATTTTTTCCTTTTTCTCCCCAAAGCCCGCCAGTACATAGTTGTATATTTTTAGTCGTGAGTCCTTCTAGTTGTAGCATGTGGGATGCCGTCTCACCATGGCTTGATGAGCAGTGCCATGTCCGCGCCCAGGATCTGAACTGGCGAAACCATGGGCCACCGAAGCAGAGCACATGAACTTAACCACTCTGCCATGGGGCCGGCCCCAACATTCACTTTTTGATCTTCATGTTAAACTAAAAGACAGGGCTGAAGACAGAATCCTGGAACAGCAGAAACACTGCTACACATTGACTTGGATCCCTTAAATACAGTCATTGTACCAATCAGGATTTTTGACTGCAAAACAGTCAATTACCACACTGCTCTGCCGTGGCCACCACTGCCAGTGAGCACTCCATACCACCAGGTCAGGACTGTTCAAGCTGCTGCTGCTGTTGCCATGACCCCTGCCTCTTAGCATCACCCTCTAAAGATTCAAAGTCCTGGATGGGAGTGGCTGAGCCCAGTTCACATGCCTGAGCCCTAGCTGCCAGGAAGTAGAAAGGAGGATCTTACCCTTTCTGCTTCCATGGTGGGAGCCAGGGCACTAGAGCCCTCCAGGACTATATTACTATTATTTAAAAATTCTTGCAAAATAAGATGGGGGTTGCATGCTGAGTGGACGGATATAATGGCAAAGGTGCACTCCAGTCATTTATCAGGTTTCCTTACCTCTCAATCATACTATCATCCAACCCATATTTCCCACTTTATCCGCAAGAATATCACAGCAGAGATTGTTAAAGGCCTCGCTGAAGACCCAGTTTGCCAACAGACTATCAAGAGCAGCTCTGCGATCTGTCAGTTCAGAGACCGGTCAAAAAAGGAAATTTGATTGTCCTTGCCCTGACTTGTTCTGAGCAATCTCCACTTCCTTTATATCTTTAAAAAAAATCTATTCTTGAAGGAGAATATAGTTGGCGGAATCAACTTTTTCCCCGGTACAGCACAGGTGTTAATTTTGTCTGTCCTGTATTCATTCCTCCTGGTAAGAGAGCCCACTCTTCCCAATGGTTGGGATAGGCTAACCTCACCACTGGCTCCTCAACGGACACATGACTCAGATCTGGCCAATCGGAGCACTGTTTCCCTCTGGCCACAGTGATTGGTTCAGGGATCAACACATGGCCCAAGGGGGCCAAGAAGCAAAGGTCCTCTCTTCCCCCAGGACTTCTGCTGCAAATGTTGGAAAAAAAAAAAAACCCTTCCTTTCCTCTGGGGTGGCCAGCCTGGAGTTGCCGAGGATGTTGTAGCTTTCTAGGACCTGTATAACAAATCGCAACATGCTTCACGGCTTAAAGTAACAGAAATTTCTTTTCCCGCAATTCTAGAAGCTAGAAGTCCGGAATCAAGATGACAGCAGGGCCATGCTCCTTCTGGAAGCTTTAGGGAAGACCCTTTCCTTGCCTCTCCTATCTTCTGGAGGCTCCCAGCAGCCTTGGCATCCCTCGGCTTGTAGCTGCATCGCTCCAATCGGCCTCCGCCTTCACATGGCCGCCTCCTCTCTGTATATCTTCTTCTGTCCGTGTGTCCTCTTCTCTTCTTATTAGGACACCAATCACTAGACATAGGGCCCACCTTAATCCAGTATGACCTCATTTTGAGTTAATTACATCTGCAAAGACCCTCGTTCCAAATAAGGTCCATTCTGAGGTTTTGGGTGGACGTGAATTTTGGGGGTACACTATTCAACCCCCTACAGCTATCACGTGGCAACAGCCTGCCTGAGAATGAAGCCAGCCTGGAGGCAGGGGTGCGGCTGTATCTGACTCCTCCTGGACTTACCAGTCATGTGAACCGGCAAATCCCTCCTCCCTTCTTTTTTTCCTTAACTCAGTTTGAAGTAACAAAAAGAAACTGCTACCACCCTTCCTTTGGCAAAATTAGAAAATCATTTGCACATGGCCAATGTTCCACACTTCTTCCTACTGTACCCGTCCTCCAAGTTTCAGACAGGGATTGAGCAATCTCACTTGGAAGTCCTCTCAGTGCCTTGGATTCACTTCATTTGGCCAGGAAACAAATTTATTTTGAGCAGCTACGTGATCTCTTACAGTGTCTTCCACCGTATTCCTACCTTTAATTTTTATTATGGAAAGTTTCAAAAATATGCAAAAGTAGAGAGAATAGTATAATGAATCCTCATGTTTCTGTCCCGCTACATTCGCTTCATCTATACCCCCACCTTCCCTCTGCCTCTTGCAGGATTATGTTAAAACAAAGCTCAGATGCCATATAACTAATTTATCCTCTTCAACCACTATTCTGAGCTTTAAATCCTCTCGTCGCTGCATTTGAGGAGTTCTGTCCCTTGCAAAACGAAGCAAATACTTTACACGTAGAAAGCGTACAAGTGACATTTGAGAACAGAGGCCCCGCCCTCAGGATGTTCCGCCTAGTGGGAGAGAAGACAAGAAGCCCCTCCAGGGCTTGCCAAACCTCAGTGTAATTCACCGGGGAGGTCGTGTTGCAGATGCAGCTTGAACAGGTGGGAGGAGGCAGGGAATTCTGCAGTTCTGACAAGCTCTGGGTGGTATCAACGCTGCCGGTCTGCGGATCTCACTTTGAGTTGCCAGGCCCTAAGCCGAAAGGCAAAGGAAAAAAGCAACAGGGTGTTACGTAAGGAAGAGGAGATGGGTCACAGGGCTTAAAAACTGGCTTTTGAATAGCTTACCACAGTTACCCAAATTGATTTTTAAAGTATTCCAGAGGGAGAGTAACATTGAACCAAGCACTGAGGGAGCCACAAAAGAAATTTTAGAAACTCTGGGAAGAGAAGGCGGGTTACCTGGCAGTTCCAAGAAATCCATATAATGGAGGGTGAAAGGGTCT